ACTTCTGCTCATTTTAGTGTGCTATGCATTGTAATAAAAATATGTAAAAGAAAAGAAATGGGTACCACATTGAGTTTTTCAGAAATTAATGTGGAGATTCCAAGGATAAAAATTAATAATTTCTAGTATGCTGCAATATTTTGTTTTGGTTACTGCCTTAAAAATAAAACAACAGTGTCGCTTTTGTGCCACGAGTAAAACGTTGGCTAAAAATAAAGCATTTTTTTCAGATGACTGTTTTATCCTTCGTTCAAGCTCCACTGCTTTTGCAAAATGGCAGAGGTACCTGTCGTGCAATTGTTAGATTGACTTCAAAGAAAATACCCTGCACTGATGTCAGTACATTCACCATGGTCTTGGAATATTCCTGTTAAAAGTGTTTACCAGTAGAGAAAAAGTATGATTGTCTCCAATTTTACAGAATGACCGAAGTAGTAAGATAGGGTTAGTGTTTAGACTTGCTACCACAGCAACACACACAGCGAGGAGGTATTAAATGTAGGCTGTGTCTACAGTGCCGTCTGACAACACTCCACTCGCGCCTTCAAGTGCCGTCCGAAAGAGAGTCGGACGGCGCACGTATCACTGGGAAGCTCGTTAACCTCCCCACCCCCGACTGCGTTCATGCCGTTTTGCAATGACAGTATGCGGCTGCTAATTACAAAATTATTAACCAACTTGGCCCCGTCGTACACACCGCTTCGCGGCGTCCAGCCGGCAACCCAAGCCCCGCTGTCTCCCATGCACCCCCAGTAAGGGAGTCCCATACCATTTTGTTCAGCGAAGTTTCATCAACATTTTTTTTTTTTCAGTGTTAATCATAAAAAATAAATGTCGTAGATATCGTGAAATGCCTTAACAAAGCAAAATGTTTGAGAAAAAAAAAAGTAAGCCCTCACTGTGGACGAAACCCGGGTCCGCTGCATATGAGGCAGACACTTTACCACTAAGCTACGCTACAGCTTCGAAGAGCTCGTTTTGACAATTCGCTTTAAACGAGACTTTCGGACTTTCGGACGGCACTTGAAGGCATGAGTGGAGTGCAGTCCGACCGCACTTGAACGCTCTACAAGAGTACAGTCAGAGGGCACTTGAACGCTCTGCAAGGGTGCCGTCGGACGGTACTCTAGACACGTTTTTTAAATGTAAGCCATGCATGCACAAGATGTCTTTCCGTCATATTTGAGTTTCAAGTAGTGTATAGTGATAGTAAACCAAGCAGTAACTGTTATAAGACTTAAAACCTGTCGGTATAAACAAACAAATACATAAAAAAAAAAAAAAACCGAGCCAGGCTTTAGTACTTGCAACGCGATCGCTTACTGTGGGCTTTGGTGGAGCTGCAAAGCAAAAAAATAAATAAATAAATAAATAAATAAATAAATAAATAAATAAAAAAATAAAACATGCGTACAAAGAATGTGAGGACTTGAAACGCGTCATTGGTTCTAGCTTATTGCTCTTGGGAACCTTCCTTGAAAGAAGAATATAAAAAAAGGGAAGATACTGTATTTCACCTTGTCGCGAAAGAGTTCTGAAGATTAGACGAGTGGCGAGAGAGACAAAAGGGGGTTTGGAGAGAGGGAGGGTAGGGATATTGCACTCCTTGTGGACCCATTAAGCCTACAGGTGAATCGGATGACACTGAGTAAGCGGGCAGCTGACGCTCGAAATAAGTAGTATGAGCGTTTAAGAAAAACGACGGTCAAACTCTTAGCCCTCAACCGCGTAAAACAGGGGCGAGGCACTGTCGAAAGCACTGGGTGAGAACGCACAACGATCACCGTGGGTCATTGACTGGGCAGGGGACCCCCTTCTTTCACAAGGGGCGTTTCGCGCGCTGTCAGCCAAACTCACCCAGAAGATGACGTTGAAGCCAAAAATGAGGTACTTCAAGCAGCAACTTATTTCACTTTTGTCGCGCCTATGTTTTCTTACGGGCATTCTGTTGCCGTAGCGCTCGACTTCCTCCCCATACGGAGCCATCTTTGTTGCAACCGTTGCAACTGTTTCCCAGCGTTGACCGACTTTGTTATGGATTTAACGTTGGCCGAATGCGCCAGCATGTCAGTTGCCTAAGAAAAAAAGTACATGCTATGTATGGTTAATAAAATCTTACTATACAAATAAAATGCATAAAAAAACAAAATTTTTTTTAATTCAGTTATTTTTTTAATTATGTCTCGACTTGGTTTTGGCATTTTGCCTTGTGTACGCCGCTCCGCGCGGCTAGGGCAAAAATCTGGACGGCCGATTGCGGTATTCTGCACTCTTTAAACATGGCGGTGGTTTCAGACGCTTTGCTGTTGACTTCGGGCTTTCTTTTGCGTCTGGCACTCATTTACACTTCGATCGGCAAGCGGATCTCAGACAGAGTCGAAGTGTCCACGCCGCTCAACTCATGGAGACGGGTCACCGAAGGCCTGTACCTCCAGCGGATGCAGATGTCCCCTTACGACGGGGACGTCTTCCATGAACCTCCGCTGTCACTGGCACTCTACGACGGCCTCACCAGGGCGCTGGGAGATCACTACCTGCCGCTCTTCTTCGTCATATGTGACCTGGTGACCGCCCTGCTCCTGTCGGGCGCAGCCAAGAAAGGTATGCAGTTCATGGTGGCCCAAGAAAACCAGATCGGAAAGGCTAAGAGCGCCGAGTACATGCGTCTGACGGAGAAGTCGGTGCCGTCCGTTCCCAAGCTCGTACTGGCCGTCTACCTGTTGTCCCCGTACAGCCTCCTAAACTGCGTGGGAATGGCAACCACGACCTTCTCCAACCTCCTGCTGGCGGCGTTCCTTCTGGCTATGGTTCGTGGCCGCTGGCTCCTGGCGTCGGTGGTCCTAGCGCTGGAAGCCTACAAGTCCTTCTATTCCGTGATGCTTCTGGTGCCGGCCCTGCTCTACTTCGTCCAGGCACACCGAGGCACGGGTCGGGTATTCGTTCCGGCACTGGCGGCGGTTGCCGCCTTCGTGACCACTCTGGGCTCCCTCCTCTACGCGTCGTTTCTCGCCACGGGCTCCTGGAAGTTCCTGCGGTCCACCTACGGCTGCATCTGCTGGGTTCCGGACCTGACGCCCAACATCGGCCTCTTCTGGTACTTTTTCACCGAAGTGTTCGAGCACTTCCGGGCTTTCTTCCTCTGGATCTTCCAGCTCAACGCCTTCGTCTACATCCTACCGCTCGCCATCAGGCTGAGGAAGGAACCGCTTCTGCTGCTGTTCATCATCGCAGCGCTCACAGCGGTCTTCAAGTCCTACCCGAGCGTGGGCGACGTGGCGCTTTACACGGCCTTGCTGCCCATGTGGAGGCACGTCTTTCCTTACATGAAGCAGTACTTCTTGGTTGCCTGCGTGTTTGTGGCGTGCACGGCGCTTGCACCACTCCTCTGGCACCTTTGGATCTACTCGAGCAGTGCCAATGCTAACTTCTATTTCGGCATCACACTTGCGTTTAACACGGGGCAGATATTTCTCATCACGGATCTGCTGTTTGCCCACGTCAAGCGCAGGTTTTACCTCGAAAACGGGGATCCCAAGGAGATAGAGGCCAAAAACTTGAGGCTTGAGCTACACTAGGTGCTCCCGTGCACTTACCTTGGGCCCAGTTGTGACTCGGGTGCTGTGGAACTGTGCCAGGACATTTTGCCAGGGGCCCCAACTGGAGGTCACAGCATAAACGTTCCAGTGTGGGGACCATATCATAAGAAGGATTAAGCCTTGGGGCAAGGACTCTTTTTTTTTTTTTTTTTTTTGAGAACTTTCTGAGGATTGTGACCCAAACCTGCATTATTTAGTTTGTTGCTTAATTCAATCCAAATATATTTCAGAAGCAGGGAAACTAAAGTCAATGCAAATGTCAAGTACTAGCATTCTCCCCAGTGTGTTGTGATGAAATAAGAGATAGTAGAAGGTTGTTGGACCTTTGTAAATTACTGTGCACCCATTAGCCATGGGGGAGCTCTGTAAACAAGGTGGAACTGGTTCTCCGAAGCTTCGTAAGATATATTCAGCTGAGCAGGGTTTTAGTAGTAGTGTCTTTATTTCAGATAAAACCCGGGGATGCTTAAAAATCTGCTTGTATATCTCCTTCTTTGTTAATTGACAAGCATTGACACAGAGGAAACGTGTTGTGAGAGCATTGCACATGCTGTAAAAAACGAACAGAATATTTTCAGCATTTTTAGAAATTTCTGAGAGGTCAAACAAGACAGTAGAGAGTGCATATTTTTACCATCTGCATACATTACCAAATCAGTACGCCGAACCCTTGCTCCTCAGATTCAAGGAAAAAGTTTGAGAGGTTTAAAGATGAGATTGGGTTCAGGGTCTTCAAACAAGCAGCTCAAATATCTGAGTGGAGTAACAAAGGATTCTTTCAAATTAGAAATATACTGAAGCAATGGTGAGGGTGCCGGCTAGCTGGTGTAAATTGAGTATCACCTTTTGGCAGTATGTTCCCCATTTTATTGCTGCTCAGATGAATGCATTCAGTACAGTTGTAGGCATCATTGAGTGCTGTACAGAATGTGAGGGGCCTAGACTCGTTATGGCCCTATCGCTAGTTGGTAGATGACTGTATGCACCACATTGTGTTGTGATCAAATAAAACATGTCTACAAGAATTCATTTTTTGGACAGTTCAATTGAACTGAAAGGAAGTTACAGCCATGCATGTTGTAATTATGCCATTTTATATAAATCAGTTTTTTGTGTTTTTCTGGTAGGCTTCTATGAACTTTGAGCAACTTAAACTCAGGCTGCATCTTACTTTGGAGATTTCAGCAGTGGCTTAGTAACGTCCCAGTCACGTGGGGGGTGTGACACCTTAGTGACACCCGGCAGAGGCAGAGGTGACACACCTTTGCCGGGTGTCGCCTCTGGATGGCGCAAGTAAACGTCTAATTCACGTTCAATAGAGGTAATTTCTGGATCTTTTCGAAGCACTTTTGCCGCCCCTGCCAACGTGTAAGGAGGACTTCGAGGAGGAGGAGGAGAACGACCAATTTGCGCCGACTTTCGACCAACGTTACGACGTTACCTTTCGGCTCTGACTTTCGGTTGACTGGTTCAGGACGGCGAGTACGGTAAATACAAATATAGAAAAAAACAATATAATAATAGTAGTAATCTGGCACAGTTCTGAGCGGTTCTGGGCATAGTCTGAAGGTTTTTCGTTGCTGCTGCGACTTCTGTGCTCGCTGTGCTGTTGCCCACTGTACCCATTACGCGCACAAGCACGCAGCTGTTCGCTTATCGTCGGCGCTTATCTTGTCCACTACATCTTACTCATATTCTACCTCAAACTCGATGGCCGTCCTTGGCCTCAGTTCCCTGGCCCTCGTCAAGCCCAGCGGCCCAGTGATCGTGCTTTCCGCCTCGCCTTCATCTACAGATGCCCCTCCTTCCTCCCCCCTCCGTCAAGTCGGCCAAGGCAACCAAGGCCGTGCCAGATATCGCAGATCTGAGATCCAGCCCGCTGATCACGGACAAGTCTTCCCTCCGAGAGGATGAAGCTCCAGGACTACCAGTGGATGATCTTCGTTGCCCTGTTCCTGGGCTACGCCTGCTACAGCTACAACCGCAAGAGCGTGTCCTTCGCGCTGCCCGCACTGACGGTGGAAGGACTGAGCAAAGAGCAGGCAGGTGCGATCTGGGGATTTCACTCTGGGCATTTAATCATGCATGGCTTCTGGGATCCGAGTCCAAAAAATCTACGCGCACGTGGCCTTCGCGCCGCGTGTGTCAGAATTTCGGAGCCCATCAATCATCATCATCATCATTTATTAAACCTTGAGGGCCATTGCTGTCCTGTCATGTCGCACGTTTCGGCCGCCAGGCCGCGGCAGTTTTCGCTGCATACTTGGATAGGCGGCAGCCTCATGCTCATCTCCTTTTCGTTTTTTTCCACTAAGTGGCGCCTCCTTCTTTGGCGGTGAATCTTGATTTCAATGCTGATGCTAGACTTTTTTTTTTTTAACATGTCCGACGGCACTCTTGCTGGGCGTTCAAGTGTCGTCCAACGTCACTCCACCTACGCCTTCAAGTGCCGTTCGAAAGTCTCGTATAAAGAGAATTGCCAAAACGAGTTTTTCGGTGGTAAGATGTCTGTTTCATACGCTGCAAACCCATGTTAAATCCCCTCTGTGGGCTTACCTTTTTTTTCTTTTTTTCTCGAATATTTTGCTTTGTCGAGGTATTTGGTAATATTTACGACATTTCTTTTTTACGATTAACACTGAAAAAAACTAATGTTGACGACGAAACTTCGCTGAACAAAATGGTATGGGATTCCTTTTCCGGAGGTGCATGGGGGACAGCGGGGCTTGGGTTGCCGACAGGACGCCGCGAAGCGGCGTGTACGGCAGTGTCAAGTGGGTTAATAGTTTTGTAATTAGCAGCCGCATACTGTCGCTGCAAAGCGCCGTGAACTAGAGTTGCGCATTCAGCCTTGGCGGGTGGCCGTAACGTCGGCTTTCCTGCACGCCCTGGATGCTTTGCTCCTCACGTGACTAAATTTGTTGAATAGCGGCGCTGTGCGCGTCGCCGCGCATGGAAAACAGAAGAGGAGGAGAAAGAGGCGAAAGCAGGGGAACATACGCCAGGGCGCGAGCAACGTCGGCGGAGCGACCGTAAAGGTGGGTTTCTTGCACGGCATCGGATGCTTAATGCTCCTCACGTAATGGGTCTCGGTGAATAGCGGCGTGGCGGCGCGGGGAATACAAATGCGTAACTTTGCTCCTCCTTTGGGGGAGCATATCGAGGAACTCCAGCGTGAACGTAGGTGGGGGTGTGGGTTAACGAGCTCCCCAGTGATACATGCGCCTTCCGACTTCCTTTCGGACGGCACTTGTAGGCGTGAGTAGTGTGCCGTCAGACGGTACTGTTGACACAGCGTTTTTTTTAAAGGTTTCGGCGGTGTACAATGGGTAGCAATAGGAGTTAGAATGCTCCGATGGCGACCAGGCACTGCAGTCTAGCAGACAGCGAGGGGAGGGTCAGAACGGCAGTGTGGTTGTTTAAATATGTCTACTCAACCGCTGCTTGCGATACCTCCCCATCTTGGATGCATGCACAGTAGCTGTGTGACAGCATGGGTTGTGCTGCCTGGTCGCCGTTTGTGCATTTTAGCTCATATCGTTAGCTACTATATGTTTGTTAGGAGTACAGTGGTTTCCATACTGTTCATTAAAACTCTGTAGCCTCCCAAAAGTGAAGTCCGGTTCACGGCAGAGTTATTTTTTTATTAATTTATTTTATTTTATAATATGTCCCTTTGTGCATAGTTCCCAAAAACAGCTGGGTTACTCCAGTCTGCTGTACTTGCCTTTGGGACACCTTACTGTCACGATCCTTCTAGAACGTGGACGAAGAGGGCCGAAGCACCCGCCGAGAAGAGACAACACACAGCCTGGTTGTGAGGGTGGACGATGACTGACTGGGGCGGCGTGCGCTCTACGGCGTTTATTCGGCACGGTGATCAATGTTGCCCGCCGAGCCTGGCGGCCACAGATGGGCGGACTGGAGGGGGCGCTACATACTTGTTACATTCCTCCCCCCAGTTTGTTTTTTCTAAAAACAAAATAAATAACTACACAACGCACACGGCCGACACCAACTCTGCGTCTGGTCGTGCAAAGTCCTGGCCGGTCGACGATGAAGGTCACCCCGGCGAGTAGCGGTCAGGTGGCCTTCGCTGCTGCATGTTCCGCCTGGTCACTGGTGTCGACGGGCCGGGTGTGGCAACTCTGGGCGCCGCCTGAACCGGTCGCGCTCCATCCGGTGGAGCCGCAGGGACCGGATTTGGGAGTGGCACCGGTCGAACTGGTGCCACAGGAGTGGCGACGCTTGTCGCCTCCGTGGTGGGTGGCGCTCCACTGGCCGCGACTGGTGCTGTCGTTGATCCCCCTGTGGGCTGGTCCTCCGAAGCGACGGCCGAGGGTGCAAGCCAGGTCCTGGAGCGAGGCCTGACATGGTCGGCGTGCCGGTGCCAGGTGGTCCCGTCGGGCATGTGGACGAGCTGCAACGAGGCACTCGCTGGTGAAACCACATTTCCGGCAGACCAGGGTGAGCCAAAACGGAAGTCTTTGGCGTAGACCGACGCTCCCGGCTCCTGCAAAGGCCCGGGACGGCACCCTCGGTCAGCAGCCAGCTTCTGCTTCAGCTGCTTCAGGAGGGCCATGGACCGGAAGTCTGGATGTAAGACGTCCAAGGGTGTCTTGACCATCCGGTCCAGCTGAAGCTCACAGGGGGCATGGCCAGTGACCTCATGGGGTGTGGTCTGGCACTGGAACAGTACCCGGGCAACCTGCCTCCGGAAATCCTGGGGCTGGCTCTTCTTGAGCTTGGTCTTGATAGTCTGTACCACTCGCTCGGCTACACCATGAAAAGTGGGGTGGTACGGCGGAACCAGCATCCGGCGGATCCCATTCCTCTGCAGCCAGTCCAGGTGCTCGGTGCTGGCGAAAGCGGGGCCATTGTCGGACACAATAATGTCTGGCAATCCCTGCGCCGTGAAGACCTGCCGCAGTATTGCAATAGCCGCGCTTGGCGATGGAGTAGTGACTGGCAGTGCCTCCACCCACTTGGAGAAAGCATCCACTACCACCAGGAAGTGGTGGCTCTTGAAGGGTCCCGCATAATCAACGTGCAGGCGGGACCAGGGCCTCTGTGGGAACGGCCAGGGGGTGATCTCCACGTGGTGCGAGGCTCGCTGATTCTCCTGGCAGACGTGGCAGCCTTGCACCTGGTGTGCGATGTCCTGGTCCAGGCCAGGCCACCAAACGTGCGACCGTGCCACCATCTTGGTCATTTCCACACCAGGATGCCCCGCACGAAGCAGCTGCAGGACCCTGGCTCGGAGACTTTGTGGAATCACCACCCTGGAACCCCACAGCAGGTAGCCCTGCTCCAAGCTCAGCTCGGCGGCCTTGTGGCTGTAGGCCTGATGACGCAGCTCCTCCCCTCTGGAAACCGCCTTGACCACCTGAGACAGGTCCGGGTCCCGGCTGGTCGCCTGCGCCACCGCAGTCCTGGTGAGTACCCCCGGGTAGGCCCGCTCCAGCAGGAAAACGTCAGCTGGTTCTGGAACTGCAGCAAGCACCTCCGGCAGGGCCAGGCGGCTTAGGGCGTCGGCAGGTCCCAGGCCCTTCCCAGGGCGGTAGACCAGCTTGTAACTGTAGGCCGCCAGCGTCAAGGCCCAGCGTACCACCCGAGGCGATGCTTGAACTGGGACTGCCTTGTCAGGCCCCAGCAGCAGCTTGTGGTCCGTGACCGCCTCGAATTTCCGGCCCCACATGTACTGGTGGAAGCGCTCGACCCCGAACATGAGGGCCAAGCCTTCCTTGTCGAGCTGGCTGTAGCGTTGCTCTGCCACATGGAGACGACGAGAAGCAAACGCCACAGGGTGTTCCTGACCATCCTGACCCCGGTGCGACAGGATGGCTCCTACCCCGTACGGCGACGCATCCACGGTGAGGACTACAGGCTTGGCCGGATCGAAGTGCACCAGCACCGGAGCCTTGATCACTAACTTCTTGCTGTGCTGGAAGGCCAAATCCTGCTCCTTCTTCCAGGCCCACTGCTGACCATCCCGAAGCAGGCGATGCAGCGGCTCTAGATGCGTCGACAGGTTGGGCAGGAACCTCCTGTAGAAGTTTATGAGGCCGAGGTAGCTCTAAAGCTCCTTCTTGCTCTTGGGCTTCGGCACCTTGAGCACGGCCTCGATCTTGCGGGGTGCCGGGGCAAGGCCAGCCTGGGAGATGATGTGTCCCCGGTACTTGACACTGGGGGTCAGGAACACGCGTTTGTCCAGCCTCAGCTTGAGACCGGCGTCCTGTAATCGTGTCAGGACTTTGCGCAGGTTCTGCAGGTGGTCCCCGTCGTCGGTACCGGTAACCAGGATGTCGTCCAAGTACACCGCCACGTGCCTCATGCCCCTGAAGAGGTTGTCCATCTCCCTCAGGAAGATGGCTGGGGCTGAGGCCATGCCGAACAGTAGGCGCATGTACTGGAAAAGTCCCATGGTTGTCGAAATGGTGACATACTTCCGGGCGGCATCCTGGAGTACCAGCTGCTGATGGGCATCTCGAAGGTCGAGCTTGAAGAACTTCTGTCTTCTGGACAGAGCCGACCAGAGATCTATCCGAAGCAGCGGGTACTTCTCGACGGTAGTGACGGGGTTGATGGTGACCTTGAAGTCCCCGCAGATCCTGACGCGGCCGTCTCGCTTGAGGACTGGAACAATCGGTGCGGCCCACTCGGAGGTCTTGACGGGCACCAGGATCCCCTCTCGCTGCAGCCGTTGCAGCTCCTGGGTGACCCTGCCTTCAGTGCGAACGGTAGCGGACGCGGCTTGAAGAAACGGGGCCGGGCTCCCTCAGGTACGTGGATGCCAACCGTCGTGCCGGCGAAGGTGCCCACCCCCGGCTGGAACAGGGACTGTAAGTCGGTCAGGAGGCTCGGGACGTCTTTCATCACGTGCAGGGCAGCTTCCTGGTACTCCGGCAGCCGAACACCCAGTGCGTGACGCGCACTGGGTGTTCACGTTCTGGGAGTCACGCTGCTGGGCCACTTCCGGCTCAGCAGCGTCGCAACGACCCCTTGGTTAGATAAAGGGAAAGGATTGCCTCCCTGTCGCCAAGGTG